GCGACATCTGATTGGACGACAGAAAAATGGGCATATCTAGAGGGCCACATCTGATTGGACAATAAAACAATGGGCGTATCCAGAGGGCCACATCTGATTGGACGATAAAACAATGGGCGTATCCAGAGGGCCACATCTGATTGGACGAAAGAAAAATGGTCATATGCGGTAGGAAGTGGAAAGAGCTGAAATGAGCTAAAACAAAAAAGTGGAATTAGCTGAAAAAGCTAAACATAGTAAAACAGTTAAATAGTAGCTGAAATGAGCAGAAAGAAGTTAATTAGGCTGAAAGTAGCATCAGTTACCACAAAAAAACTTGAATTGATAGGAAAACAGCTGAAATTAGCTAAAAAAAATTCTATAAAGTAGCTGAAAAGGTAGAACAAGCTTAAATTAGCATAAGAAAGCAGAAAGAGCATGTTTGCCCAATTAGGCTGAAAGGAGCCAAAATGATCAGAAAAAAGTGGAAATTTTCTGAGGAAAAAACAAAAAAAACAGCTGAAAAGTAGCTAAAAAGCTGAAAGAAGATGAAATTACAAGAAGGAAGTGTAGAGAGCACATTTTTTGCTGAATTACGTTAAAAAAAAGTTTTAACGAGTGCAAAAAATGTGGAATTAGCTGAAAAAGCTAAAATCAGCATAAAACAGCTAAATAGTAGCTGAAATAGCTGAAACGTGCAGAAATAGACTGAAAGGACCAGAAAGAAGTTAGAAGAAGCACAAAAATGTTGTAGATGGCAGAAAGAATCTGAAAGACAAAACAGCTGAAAGTAGCTGAAAAAAGGTTTAAATTTGCACAAAGAAGCTGAAGCAGAACAAAATGTGAAAGGAGCAGTAAAAGGTTGTAACAGATCTAAAGAGTTGAAGGATGTAAAATGAACTCAATTCATTTTCTATGAGAATAAACAAAGGCAGAAAAGGCAAAAAATTTTCAAAAAGCTAAAGTTGCACCAATACCAAGTCATAGCAGGATTGTCCTGAAAGAGCCGAACGTTTTAATTTGTGATTTGTTGAAATGGAACAAAAAATAGTGGAATGAGAAAGATGCTGAAAAACTAAGAAAAATGGATCCCAAGAGAATAAACATTCACACAACTACAAGAAAATTATATAAAAAAACAAAAAAAGTTTATATTTCTGTAATTTACAATGATGGGACGTTAAAAACAGCTAAAATAAGTTACTTTATATTAAAGTAGATTTAAAATAAATCATATAATCCCATGTATTAGTGATTTTCCATCATTCGCAGCTTAAATTGATATTTTCTAGTTTTAGTTTAATCTGTCTCTTTGAAAATGTTTGACATCATAAGACACTTGTTAGAAGTGTTTTAGTTTTAATAAATAATAATTTAATAAATCATTAACTCATTTAATGGATATAGATCCATTTACACACACATACACATAAACACATTGAATTAAATGTATTTAAATATGACTTGAAACTAAAGATAACATCAAGTCAGAGTCTGCACATTAAGAAAATATTAATTTTTGATAAAATAAATAAAATAGCATCAACTTGACGTTTTATGAATTGAAATGTGATTTGAGAGTGGACTCGAGACGAGTTAATAAAAGTTCCTCACGTTGATGGCGAACACCCGGAGATCCAGAGCGACGGCGAACATGACGGGCAGCGCCCTGAAACCACAAACGCATCAGTGACGGTGCGTTCACAGGCAGCGCGTTCGCAGCAGGATCAACCTGAACTCACCAGTTCTCCTCTTTGTGGGACTGGAAGGCCCTCAGGAACGACGTCAGGGGTCAAGGATCGATTACCGATTATTGATTGGAGGCGTCTCGTGTGTTTTGCAGTTTTATAAAGGATATTGAACGACGAGCGTCTGGAACTTGTAGGCTTCAACGAAGTCATGATTGGACACGGCCAGCGTGCACCTGTAACACACAAAGGTGTGTTTGCTTCCCTTCTATGGACATTATAATCAATAATCAATAACGGATGAATCACCTGTCTGTCTCACCTGAGATGAGCTGCCACCATCTCATCGTACGGCGGTTCCAGAACCTGCTGACACTTCTCCTCTGGGCTGGACAGCTGAAGCACACACACAGGTGAGTCTACACTCCAATAACTGTGTACCTGAGTGGGCGGAGCCTCACCTGGAGGCGAGGGTTGGCGACATGCGGGTGCTTGAAGGAGAGCAGCTCGGCGCAGAAGGGCCCCTCGTGGTTATCAATGGCCTCGTAGATCTGTAGGAGGAAAGCACTGAGTTGATCTCTGTTAATCCCAGATTATAACAAGAGGCGACGAAGTAGAGGTCAAAGGTCACCTGCTGCAGGTACTGGTTGATGGTGATGTGAGCCATGATGACCGCTGGCTGATTCAGTTTACACCTGAAAACAAAGACAACCTGCTTCAAAATTCACCTTAAAGTGTTGACATGGGTAGGTGGAGCTGCTTCTAAGCCCCGCCCCTTTTCTTTGTTTACTTAATTAGTAAACGAGACGTTAAATTCAACCAGGCGGTAAAGAACAGTAAACTGGTCTAAAAACTGTTGGGACTGCTAAATTTGCATTTATCCATCTTAAAACTAACTAAATTAAATTAATAAAACAATTAAAAGGAGCTGATATTCTCGTAAAACTGTTAAAGCCTGAGAATTACAATAAAAAACACCACGTTTTCCCAACGAGACGAGTTACTTTGACATATTTTAAACTAAAACTGACCATAAAAATACATCATATTAAACGAAAAGCCACATTTTACAAGCTTCAATTACAAAATAAAACACAGTCAAAATAAGATTTACAAGCAAAGTTTAATAATCACTAGAGCTGAGATAAAATAAAAATTCAGTTTTACGTGTTCGACTCTAAATGAAATTATTTCATGTTTACCAGGAAGCAAAACAAACAAACATCTGCAAAGTAAAAAAAAAAAAAAACACACCTTCAAAATCTCGATTTATGCAGAAAAACTCCGTCCAGCCGCGGTTCTGTCAGAGCGGAAGGCGGACCACTTCCTCCGACGGACAAAACTACAACTTCCGGGTCTAAGAGTTCAAAGTTCCGGAAAGCGGGATTGTGTCAAAATAAAAGCGCTCGGTTAGAGTTTCTGAAGATTTATTGGGACTTCTTATATCATTTTATGGGAGATTAAAGTTTAGGATAGATTACACCTTTTTAGACTTTTTAAAATTATTCAGAGTTTTACGTAGATCTCTAAATAATAAACATGCAGGATTAGATATTTAAAAACACAAGGAAATATATGATGTAAATATATACATATACATATATGTACATATATATAAATTGTAAATAATAAATTATTAGCTCCCTTGCTGCTGCATGTTCTGTTATCATGCCGTCTTCTACAAAACAACATACATGATCAAAATAAAGAAACTGCACCTCAGATGCGCAACATTTTATTTGAAACAATAATTTTTGTTTTACATGTTTATGCTTTAGGAGACAGTAACTGTGACTCAGCAAACTACAAACATTGCTGTTGTTTAACCATTTTTTTTCCATTAAGAAAATAAAAGATTACAAAAACTTTATGAACACTTATTGCCTCTCTTGTGTCCCAAGTGTAAAAAAACACACAAAAAAAAACAATCTGAAGATTCAATGTTTTTACGTTTATTAAAGTTGGTTTTACAGACTGTGAAGTTCTTTTATTCAGACAAATAATAAAACAAGACACAAACATGTTTTACCTTCGGACACCAGGGTGCACCACATGATGATCATTTAAACATTTCAACAGTTACTTATTAACACAGAGGCACAAAGCAGCAGGTATTTACAACAATTAGAACACAGAATTCAGGTATTCACATAGATAATTACAGATAAATACAAACATTCAATTAGAATCAGTCAGATGTGGAATCATTAATATTTAACTTTGTAGAAATACTACAATCTAAGCCAATCAGCAGCTGAACGTTCGGACTGTAAAAACAAACCTATGAAATGTGTTTTTTAAACTGATAAAAACTATAACAATAAACAGATAACCTCAACTAAACTGTAAGTTTTATTTTCCAGGAAACTGGCTTTTCTACTGATGGAATTAAGAAAAAGTTAACCGTTGTTGCAAGATTTGAAAAAAAAAAAAAATACTGTAGTTTTTTATTTTCTGAGGTACGTTTAATGAAACCAGGCTCTTTAAGCTTTTAACGGAACTGTTCTCAGGCATTTTCTCATTTTTTCTGCAAAATAAAACATTTGAATAATTTCAGATTTAACATAATTTATATAATAATAATAATAATAATAATAATAATAATAATAATAATAAAAACCAGTTGGATTCCTGTTTGTTGGATTTGACTAATCTTCGTCCTCAGAAAGAGTGGGTGTGGCCAGGTGGCCATGGAGCCCCACCCACTCTACCGTGACCAGGTGGCTGCATGAGGCTCTCGTTGCTGATTGGTCCATGGAGAGTAGAACACGGTGAGTGGGCGGGGCTTAGTTCAGAGCAGCCTACCGTCCAGAGGCAGGGGTACTGACTGAAAACAAACAGCAGGTTCAGATTGACTAGACAAATTACCATTTAAGGGAGTGGCCAGAGTCTCACCTGGAGCTGTGAGGAGGAGGAGGAGGCAGATGTGATGAAGGAGCAGTGCTGGTCAGGGTCAGGGAGGCGGGCGAAGGTGAAGAGGAGGAAGAGGAGGCAGGACGTGGGGAGGAGCTACTCCAACCCTCAGCTAATACCTGAACTCCTTCAGACAGACACGGTGGGGGGACCGAACAGGAAACAGGAAGTAGAACGGTAACATCCAGTTTTTAAAAGTCTAGTATCTGAACAGAAACGTTTTTCTATCAAACTGCAGAGTTTTAAAGGTGTTCCACCTGAGGAGTGCGAACGGTGTGGCAGGTAGGCAGTGGGATAAGGCGTGTGTCGCCCCGGGTAACCGTGATGCTTGTAACCATGGTGGTGATGATGTGATGCCAGGGGGAGACTTCCGGTGTACGAAAAGGCTCCACCCCCTCCTGCTGAGCACAGCGACCAGCCTGGGAAACCAGAAATATTAAAAAAATAAATAAAAAGAGAGAAAACATAAATCCTTTAGGTTGATATAATGTTGGAGGAAGAGTTGAGATTTAATTTTTTTTTTTTTCCTTTCTTCGAGATCTAAGTAGCGAAACTACAAGCTAACTATAGCCAGCTTGCCATACTCGTATTCGGTCGCATGCGCAAAATGCTGTGTTCCGTCAAAAGTTGTTTTTTTTTTCGTCAAAAGTACGTTGGTTAGCTTTAG